GTGTGTTCCTGCGTCTGCTTGCGCACGTCACACATTCGCTCCATGATCCATCACAGCATTGTGACCTCTCCATCCCCGCATCGGAGAAGTGAGAGGCATGATAGATATATAGGCCAAGATAATCTAGACTAGGTTCGCCTATCACTATCAGGCAATACGTTCTGCATCAGAATGGTGTGTCTGCGCGTGCCACACACTTTCCACTCATTCGCTCCGGCCTTCATCGTTAGCACACATGGGCTCTCCCATTCTTTGTTTCGATTGATAACCAACAAGTTTCTAAATTGGCGAAGTTTTCATGTTTCAATGGGCTGTGCACAGCAGCAGCAATATTCCACTATAACCGACTCGCACGTTTATGTGATTGCGCTACAGCAGTATTTTGTTTACAAAGATAAAGAAGGGAAAAAAACGGGGTTTTAGAATGATGTCTTTATAACAGACTTCTCGTTGTTTCGGGACTCGTTATAAGTGGACTCCACTGTATTGAATAAACTCACCAATTCCTCATCGCAGTCAAAGAGCCGCAAAATTTCCACCACTGTCATCATCCAAACATAGAGTGCTCCCAAACCGTACCCGTAGACAGATCCGATGGAGAGACAGGCGAAGACGGGGAAGTATACCATGCCATAGACCAGCATAGAAGCGATAGCTGCCAGGGCTGCAAAAGGGGGAGTATGTACAAAATGGTATAGATTTAACAACGCTCCTTGCAACACTGTAAGAATTTAATGACTAGATTCTATATCCAAAGAACCAAATAGAACAATGACTGACTGTAAAGTGCCTTTCCCTGAGGACACAATGTTAGACTGAGCTGAGCCTTAAACCCCCCCAATATCATGATTACGAGTCTGGTAGCCTAATCACTGGACAACTGAAGCCACTGCTGCAGGTGAGTACTTTAACCCTATCCGTACGCCCAGGGGTCATTTTGTACCCCTGGGGTTGTATTCTTCACATTTAAGAATACTTCTAGAACAAAATTCTCTCTGAAACTTTCAGTATTTTTCAAAAAATAATTTTGACAGATAGCTATGCAAAGCCAGATTAACGCGTAAATTTCCTCTTGGGAAAGTGGTGGCACAGAGTTCCCCACGTCGTATGGATGCGATTGTAAAATTCGACGTACGGATAGGGTTAAAAGGCACATGATCCAGAACATAAATCAAACTGAAAGCATGCCAATTACAATTAAAGCTACACCTTACAGTGGTTTCAGCTGTGACTCAACAGTTTGAAATGTTGATTAGTAGTCTTCTATGAGTGGGTTCTAAATTTTGTTTTTGTTTTTTTCTTTGCAAGCATTCATTCCTTTAGTTTGCAGGAAGACTCTGCTTTGCTCGGGCAGGTCTCTGAGAACTGGTACAAAATGTATGGCAAATAACTTTGAAGCTGCAAATTATGAGAAGTGTCTTTCTTTTCCCATGCAAAAAATTAGGACTTAACCTTCCAATCAACTGATAATTTGAAACTCTAAAGTCCCGCTTACACACAACGACAAATTGTACAAAACTGGACGATCTATCGATCATGAGACAAATCGCCAGGTGTAACCACAAAATTGTACAAAGTTTGGACGATTAGATGGTGGCTTGGAGGCTTGGTCGAGAAATCAAGTGCTGCTTGATATTTTCTGTGCAATCACGATCACACTTGGGGGAGACGCGCTGTGACGTAGAATTACTTTAAAATTTGCTGCTGCCCAGGATTAAACTTAGGGCTCAGAATTCTAAAAATAATTATTGCAGGTAAAAACTGAATGCATATATTCGGAATCAGCGTCTCAAAATAAGCAAGGTTGCTCTCGGGGAGAACCTGATTTGAAGCATTATTAAGTTTATTATTTGAGTGTGTGCCTAAAGAAAGGTACCAAAAGTCGGACTTTGACAGTTTTGAGTTAAGGGTTGTACCTTATACACGGCGTCTCTTTTCGCCCGATTCTGTTACTTTTAGTTAGCGTGACTCAGCAGCCCGCCGGAACTCCCCGGCTCGGGATCACGGGGTTAATGAGCCCTGAAGCGACTTTGCCGGTGTCGGTTAGGAAGTTCGCATTTTTGACTATGTTTAAAACGATATAACTTCTTCCCCATCTCACACAGCAAACCATTACGCGGATGTACTAAAAGCTCAATGTCTTGAGATTTATTCTGAGATAGAATGGTTAATTTCTGTGCCTTAGTTTTTGTTCTAGACAAGTGTTTGTAGAGTACCCAATTTGTCCCATTTTAGTTACAAACTTATGAATAAATGATAGTTGATTTTTAAAAGGCACGACAGATCTCTCCAAAATCTGTGTTAAACTGACTATGAATATCATGTCTTTTAGCATTGAAAATCTTAAGTCTGCGCGAGTATTAATAGTCAAGTTATAAGAGAAGAAAGATGCACATCTGCATTTTTTAACTAAAGACGATCAGCGTTAGCTCTTATTTTACTATTAAACAAGAGAAAGTTACTCTGTGGTTGTTCATGAATCATGCTGTGTCTGTGGCAGCCGTCATACAACTAAAAAGATATAATATAGGCGATTAAAAACCCCTACAAAACCGTGTAAATACATGGGTAGAGATAAACTTCTTGTATGGAATAAAAATAATGACAGCTAACACATTCATTCTTAGTTTTTGTGTCGGAAATATGCGCGGACACAGTTATGAATGTAAAGAAATCAGTCACATTGTCAGTTATTGCAAATGGTCATAGAAATGAAAACTAAAGCAGGAAAAGTCTGGTGCTGATTCAGTGTCCCTGGAAAGCTAGAAATTATTCTTATAACACAATTACGAGAAGTCATCTCTATTATTCACTCAACTTACAAAATCTCGACTTAGCGTTTTAAGAAAAGTAAGGAATTTCTGGAATGTAACAGATACTGTTCGAGTATTACATTGAAGATGTATTCTGGCACTAAAATTGATTTGCACTTTTCATAGAGAAACTTCATGGTAACTTTAATAAGCTTTCGAGAAAATATGCGAATATTCACGATTATATTAGACACATAAAGTTGTATTTGGAGGAATTACTTCATAGCGAATTGTGTGCCCGATGGATAAAGTTGCAAAATTACAGCTTTCCATTATATGCGCAGATACCATCTTTTCTGAGTATCTGCATCAATGCTATGTCCTTCATGATCCAAAAGTTCGACAGATTTTGATGAGGCCTTTTTCTTATATTGATTTTTTTTTCATTCACGCTAGTAAAAAAAAAAATTACAATTTAGGATTGCCGACTCCAGTGCGTCTAACAAAACAACCAGACAAGTTACAACATCCGTTCTTTTTTAAGTCTCAAGAGCAGAAATGCATGCTTTGGGTGCACTAAATGAGAATTACCATAAATACAAAGATACACCTAAAATTGTACATCGAAAAGTACCAAAAATTAAGTCGGCCCAGACAGAGCAGCGACGGGGAGCTGATAAGGCGCCCAGCGGGGAACCTCCCGCAACAACTAAAATTCCACTACCGGCGCATTGTGTATAGGAAATTCAATGCTGAACACAGGGGTCTTTGAATTTTTTTGATATTTCCAGTAGTTTTGAGATATTGCACATTTTGCGAGGTAGGGTATAAAAATATAATTTTGAGAAAATGAGCCATTAAGTTCAACAAACGTGAGAACACATACAGACTTTAAAAATAACAATTTTTAAAATGTATTTATTCATGGAAAATTCATTTCCAATTTGGTATTCAGTTGACATCAATATCATGAATGGAATTCAATGGTAAAACATAACAAGGAAGAGAAAACGTGCTTCAAGAATAGATTTTAGCACCTTTTAAAAGCAGTTTTCATTATTTGTTTTCATTATACTCTACCCTCAAATTAATTCAAAATAAAACATCAAATCAATGAAAACCCTACGAGCACACAGTAAAAAAACGGCGGATCAATAATTATTTTTATGGAAACATTTTGGTGAAAAAAAAGATTTTTTTGTCATTATCAGCCTGTTGCTCGAAACGGTATGGGGCGACTTTTGGTACCTTTCTCTATGCACACACACATTAAGTTGATCGTCAATGGCGAAGTTGTGTATCAAGGTCACCCGGTGCGTTGCACATCTGCAGTCAAGTCAATGACTAGGAATCTTCTTGACTGAAAGAAAACTGGATGATAGACTGGAATGTCTAAACAGACTACACAGCTCGGTAAAACGGACAGTTCTCGCATACGACAAATCTGACACAATATACCGTTAAGTGTAACCGGGCCATAAGTCACACATCCTGCTGCAAAGCTAGGTCCCAGAAAACTGAAGGGAAGGAATAGGAACTCACTGTGCAGATAGGCCGGTCCTTCATAATCAAAAGCGTAAAAGTTTTCAAAGACCACTTTGTAAACAAGATACACCGTAGCACCAAAGGCACAGGCATAGGAGAGGCGATTGGAGCGTGTCAGCATATCCATGGGGCTGAAAAGCAAGGAGAATAATAATAATTTAAAAAATAATATAATAATTTAAAAAATAATAATAATAATAGTAAGAGTAATAATAATACAATGCAATTAATAATGATGACGATATAATTTATAACAAATAGTATACTTTATATCACACATATCACCATTAAACAGAAAGCTCTGTGATCTTTATAATTTAAAAAAAAATGTTTTTAAATCCAGAATAAAACAAAATAACTTGAATTATTCCAGCTATTTTATGCTTCCATTTAATAAAGTCAGACAATCCGAACTCACTAGACAAAACCTGGCCGTCCTCTGAAGCAGTCCACCATCACATTCCTCCTCCTCTGTGTCAGGCTGAATGATATCAGGATGAGGAACTAGGAAAATAAAAATCAAATACAAGGGCTGTTTAATTTCTGTGGCCTACCTGTCAAACTTTTGGTTTGCTTTAAGTGAGATTTTTACTGCATTTGCATGCAATACAATAAGGTCAAATAAATGCCCAAGATTGGAGGTGTTACCACTAGAGAGTAAAACATAAAAACAAAAAAAAAGGTGATTGTGTCAAATTCAATGACCATCTAGTCATTGTTTTAGTCGTTTTAATGGTAAAACATCTGGTCCTTTCTGACAGCATAAGACTAAGAGGAAATAATATATCACGAAAAGCAAAAATATACTTCATTTCTGAGACATTTCTACGTACATTTGTAAAGACCAGAAAACATATTTTGTCTAAGAGAGATTTAAACAGTCGTAATACTTTCCCCCTTTCTTAAGAATAACTATCTGCACTAGTTATAACAACATTTCCTAAACCTTCTTCTAAAGACCAGTAGAAAAAAATTAGTAGTGAACCAATTTGGGAGAACACAAGCCAGTACATACGTCTACAGTTGTGAGCAGATTAAATTTGAATGCATTACTTAGTAACATAGTTTTTTGTATAACTTATTTTTGCATCATCACATGGAAAAATCATTTACTTCTAGGACAATATAAAAAATAATGTTCAGTATTCTGTTACTGCATTTTTAAAATTTTCAGCAAAACCATACAACCACACAAAAACTCTAAAAATCCCCCCCCCCCAAAAAAAAAACAACAACAAAAAACAAAACAACAACAACAACAACTCAACCTACGCCCTAACTCTCACAAAGTCAGGCAATAAGTTAAAAGGAAGTCTTCTGCTGCTGAAAATCACTATGTTAAACTCCCCTTTCTTTCTTTTTTTAGGTAAGTGTTTTACAGCGCTCACAACTGCATGAGGCCATATGAGCGTGCGGGACAAACTTAATATTTTCAGTTGGTAGAAATTTTAAATTTTGCCCGGGTTGCAGCCGAAGCCTACTCTTATCCATTTTGGACCACCAAGGGATCTTTAACGTGCGCAACTTGCACACGGGACCTCCGAGAATTTTTGCCCTTGTCCAAGAAGGCTAGGTGTAGATCTTTGTCCTACCAGAAGATCAGGGGTGTGGCTGAAAGACAGCAGTAAGAAGGAGCCAAGGAGAAGCAGTGGAAAGGCTGCAGAAACAGTCAGGAGCCCAAAGGAGGGTGCAAAGGAGGGAGTAAAGGAGGTGAAGGGGTGGGGGCAGAAAGTGGAGACGAAAGCAGACGACAGAATATGGCTAGAGAGCAGGAAAGAAGTTGAAAGGAGAAAAATTTAGAGCAGAAAATTTTCCGTGGCTACCCGGATTCGAACCCGGCACCTTTGAATGAGAGGCGAACACCTTAACCTCCAGGCCACGAGAGCCCCCTTAAACTCCCCTAAAGAGTAACATTCCCATGATGCATCGATAACATACTTTTACAAGGATGTCAACATTTTTAAATACAGGGAAATGGCCATGTTTTCGTTCAGTTTTGGTTTAGTTTGAGTAAAACAAAGTTGTGATATGATGATATAATGACAATTGAGTGCAGAGAAAAATGACTAAAGGTAAAACAACACAAAGACAGCAAAAAACAAAAGTTTTCTTTAAACAAAGTAGTAAGACGTTCAGTGGAATCATTCAACCACCTCGCTCTATGATATATATATATATATAGATTGATAAACATGAATCAAATAAAACTGTACCTTGAAATTTCACATATTATGTTATTTTTTAAAAGACTTCATTCTAAATAACTTGAGCTCCATTTAGTGGTAAACCTACCGAACTCGTAATCGTGAGGTTGCGGTTTCGGGGGTTCGAGTCGCGGGCCCGACGTTGTGTCCTTGGGAAAGGCATTTTACACGAATTTTCCTCACTTCACCCAGGTGGGAATGGGTACCCGGTCATAGACAGCGAAAGATCTTGTCAGTATGTTAGTGTTTTAGCGCCTATAAATGGCTGCTTGCACTGTATGCTTCCCAGGAAGTTGAGGTTGTTTCAGAATGCTCTCAGGTCTGCTGGGGTAATAGTATAGATTGTGAAGCGCATAGAGCTTGCTGATGAGCGGGGATTTGCGCTATAAAAATGCTATCTATTATTATTATTATTATTATTAGAAGGCGAACAAAAAAATGTAGGTATTTCTACGCACTTATTGCCACAATTTAGATCATTGAGGAGGTGGACTTCGAACTTGCCTGTCAGGGCCAATCAATGCTGAGGGGCATACAACGTCCCATAAGAAAGACTGAGACACAGGATAAAAATTCTCTCGCCACATGAAAACTGAACTCAGGTCTTCTGCGTGTGATGGTGAAGCACCTAACACCTGCACAACAGAACACCACTCCAATTTGGCTAGAAAGCAAAACATAAGCACAGATGAGAGGAGTACAACTCACTGCGGGAATGAGGCACAGTTGGAAATACATCTGGTCATCCATCCGAGGCTCACATTTCTGTTCTAGAACATCTCTGTACCGAGGAGTTCAAAGTAAGGAAAAATTAAATAATACATTAAATAAATTACACTTTATTGATCCCTGGCGGGGAAATTTTGATATGGCAAACATATATATACGTAATACATAATTAAACACATACTTATATATACATACAAAGAATACCAGTTCTATACACAATCTGACACTAATACAGAACAATTTTACAAACAAAACATTGCTGGTTGCCACTGTGCAGCTCCCTGATTTTTTTACAGCTAGGGTTATCTTGCTCAAAGAAATATTCCAGAGACCACCCATCTTAGAAACACTGTGTCACTGACACTTGCTTGACATTATTTTTTAGTCTAAACTCACTACTCACTCGGCCACTGGAGTCTCCATAAATTGCGAAGGGAGGCAGATTTTACTGAAAAACATTAATTTTATAGGCTAAAAAAATGTAAATGTTCAGTTTCCAAAGACTCTCAAGCCTAGGAAATAACCAAACTTTAGCTGACAATTTTCTTTCTAATTTTACCTCTGAAACCGGGCTGCCCCTACCTCTTTCAAACACAAACATATACTGACTTCTATACAAGATGGGCATTTTATCCAGTCGAAAGATAGTCAAATGAACAAGCTTTTTTAAGACAATAACTCTATACGCTCAAAAGTTGACGAGCACCTGATTCTACCACATTGTGACACAATTGAATTTATCCAAGACAGCACCCATTGTTGAGGAGAAATTACATGGTGGTCCTAAACAGATGGGCGTCATTTTTAATAATATAAAACAAACACCAGGGGGATATAATATATGGGAAGTGGTCATTTGTACTGGAGATTGTCTTGATCAGGTGGTCATATAAGAGCAAGTTCAACTATACAAATATTAGATGTGCGTGTAGGCCTATATTATACCCAAGCTCATACAAAAATATTTCAAGGAAGTTAATCATGTGAAATTAAAACCAAACCCCCCCCCCAGGAAACAAGGACTCACTCCAACAATGTTCTGTTTCCTTGCTTAAGAATTTTCAACAGAATGTCCAAATCTTGCAGAAACGATGATGCCTCATAAAAGTGTGCCATGCTGACCTCCAACTCTGCCTCCGAGTCCAGTTCTTGTCTAATACAGACTGTGATTAACTTGAGGTATGCATCACATCATGACAATAGTCTGTGAATAAACAATATGATTTTCATATTTTATCATTCACAGAGATGAGGCAACCCACATGAGTAGTCTACGATTTCAGTTAGATTTTAGCCAAAGTTTTAAGGCACTTGTAACACAAATAATTCATGTAAGAGCAAAAGAGTAAAGGTGTCTAGAGAGTACATAAAAGAAAAGAAGGAGGAGAGAATACGACGACAGATGATGTGTAATTGATAAGATAGAAGGGGCAAACATCACCAGAGCACCAGCCTACTACCCACATCAGAACAGGTATCCTGTTAAAGAGAAGCAGACAACAAGCAGAAAGAGAACACTGAACCCTGTTTTTTAGTTACCAAAAGCACATGTGTGAGAGGGAAGAAGGGTGGGGGGGATAAAGCATCAAGACAATCTGAAGGTTACCATTGGTCGTCCCAAGTGTTTTGCCGCTCTCACAACTGCACATAATTATGGTTGTAGGAGTGTGCGGGACACATTAAACATTTTCCATTGGTAGCCTGAAATTTTTTAATTTTGCCCAAGTGGCGGCCGAAGCTTACTCTTATTGATTTTGAAACACCAAGGGATCTTTAACGTGCGCAGCATGCAAACGGGACCTCCAAGATTTTTCGCCCTTCTCCAAGAAGTTTCGGAGTGTAGATCTTGCCTAATAAGATCAGGAGTGTGGCTAAAAGACTGCAGTAGGGAGTAGCAGTAGAAAGGCTGGACAGAAACAGTCAGGAGCCAAAGGAGGTACAAAGGGGGGCAAAGGAGGTTAGGGGGTGGGGGCAGAAAGTGGACACAAGCAGACGACAGGGCATTGTTAGAGAGCAGCTCAGGAAAATCATATCAGTGGCACCTGTTATAAAAACAATATATTATATTGCAGTCTAACAAGCACAGAGAAAACACAAAGCACGCAGGTTCCCAATCTTACTTTTTACCTCTGAAAGGATCAAGTTTGTTGCTCTGATTCAGACAATAAGATTGAATTTCAGAGACAAGATCAGACAGGGAAAATTTCTGAATAGACAAAAATGTCCTTGTTATGACACTGATCAGGGGAAGATGTAAAGAAAGTTTAGAAGAGCTTCAACTAGCCTATATATGTAAACTTAAGCCGGTTGTTGGGCGTGGTGGGGGGGGCGTTCTAGTGAAAATGCTTAAATTCCATAAAAAGCATGCAGCCCCACTTTTATTTAATTATAATGAAATAAAGCACCAGCAACAGTCTACCAAAATCAGCATAAATAAAAAATGTCAGCCTATGATGATTGTAGTTGCGAGTGCCGTATAAGCTCTCTCATCTTCATCCTGTGCCTTGTCGACTGGCGTGGGCGATCATGGACCTCCACTTCACCCTGTCCCGCGTTGCAGCAATGGTGCCTGTTGTTCTTGCTGCTCCTAGCCATGTTGTCATCTTGTCCAGTATCTTTTCCCTATGTGTTCCTCTGCCTCTCTTTCCATCAAACTTGACTGTTGTTACAATATTCTCCAATGCTTCTTTCCGCATTGTGTGTCCGAAGAAATTTGCCTGTCAATAAGCTCTCTACTAAAACTATAAAAAAAAAGTTTTTAAAAGTGGGCTTTCTAAGTACAGTCAGTAACAGGATTCTGAGAGAGAACCTTCAGATATTGTGTACATCCTTTGAAAGGGCTAATAAAAGCCTTTTAGAAAAATCCTATGGTCATGACATCCTCATTACATTTTCTCCGAAGCGCCCACGTATCCTTTCAATAATGCTCCACCAAGGTTCACAACGTAATAGCAGGCCTATTATATTGTGATCATGTACAGTCGAACCTGCTCTGAATTTTATGCCACCTGTCCAAGACCATAGTCTCACCTGTTGAAACAGCAACTTTTCACTTATTTATCCTTGCAATTTTTTCTGAGATAAAGACACTGTTAATAGTGTCCACCTGTCAAAGAATCTTTTTTTCTCCTGGACAAAGGCATGGGTGGCTATCTCAAACAGGGGGCTCTCATGGCTAAGGGGTGAAGGTGTCGGCCTCTCATTCAAAAGGTCCCGGGTTCGAATCCGGGGGTAGCGACCGAAAAATTTTCTTCTCTAAAATATTGTCTCCTTTCACCTCCTTTCCTGCTCTCTAGCATTGTTTTGTCCTCTGCTTGCGTCTCCACTTTCTGCCCCAACCCCCTTTGCCCCCTCCTCCGGGCTCCTGACTCTTTCTGCAGCCTTTTTAACTGCTACTGCTTGGCTCCTTCTTACTGCTGTCTTTCAGCAACACCCCTGATCTTCTGGTAGGAGAGATCTACACCTAGCCTTCTCGGACAAGGGCGAAAAATCTCGGAGGGCTCGTGTGCAAGTTGAGCACGTTAAAGATCCCTCGGTGGTCTTAAATCGATAAGTAGGCTTTGGCCGCCACCCGCGCAAAACTTAAAATTTCCTACCAACTGAAAATGATTGGTGTGTCCCGTGCGTCATATAAATATAATATGTGACGCGTGCTGGCAAAATGCGTTACTTCTCGGATTCGAGCCCTATGGAAATATAGATACATCAAGCTTATAGGAGAAGTCTTTAAAATGTATATATGTTATGAAATAATAAGAGGTATGTTATACTTAAAGAATATGACACCAACAACAAAAAAATCTACAAATTTGACCCTAATGTTGATTTTTGGCCAATATCTCAATTTCTGGGCTGCGAGAAGTAACTCATTTTGTCAGCACGCCTCACATATATATACATGACCTTATGCATAGTTGTGAGCACCGTAAAACACTTACCAAAAATAAAAAATATCTCAAACAATTTCGACGGTAATGGTAACTTAGGCCTATTTTTATAGTGTCAAGTATCATCATCATCATTGCCTTTCTCACCCTGCACCAGGGTATAGGCCACGGACAAACCCCTTCCACCTTTATCCTGGGCTAGCCTCTTGATGTTATTCCATGTCTTCCCACTTTTCTGTGCATCGATTTCTGTGATTCTTCTCCAGGTTCCACGAGGTCTTTCCCTTGATCTCTTGCCCTGTGGGTTCCAATACAAAACTTTCTTTGTTATGCAGCTGCCTGACTTTCTGAGAGTATGTCCAATCCATCGCCACCGCCTTCTTCCTACCTCATCTCTGACTGGGATCTGTCTTATTTTCCCTAACGCTCAGTGGCGGTGGGTAGTGAAGGGCTTACGGGCTTGAGCCCCTCACCCCCACCCCGTCCCCACCCCAACTCTATCCCTTAGTTGATGAAAGTTTCTTAAATAACGAAATAAGCAGTTGAAACCGTCATGATCGCACACAATGAACACACAGTTATCAGCTTGGCGGCTTGCCCGTTTATCCAATCATTGTTGTCACCGCTTACAACTATAGTAACCTAACAGCCAATCAAATGTCGTTAGGGCTCAGAAAGAATAAGCCGGTTCCCACGCCCGTCTTTAATGAAACTCTTCTTGTAAAAAAGTAGAAGACTTTAAAAAAATAACACTGCACAGAGGGCTCACGCTCTCCCAGCCCTGACAATGGGGTGAAAGTTTACGACACACTTTCCCCCAGTGACACAGATACCTATATAATGCGTTGTTAGGCGCGTTCTATTTTCCGTAACAACACGACCCAATCCACCTCATAGACGGTATATGTGTTTGGAGTGCTGTGTGTTTGTGCTGCTGAGATTTAACAGTTATTAATTACATCAAACCATTTTTGAGGCAACTTTTTCAAGATAAAAACTAATTAAAGAATTTTGGAGGTGAAACGGCTTCGTCCCCACCATCCAGAAGCTTAAATTTAACTAAGAACAGAGAGATGGAAGACAAAGGTGACTCTTCTCGTTTGAATGGTTCTCAAAATGCCGAGGCTCGTCGTGAGAGAAAAATCATCACTGTTTTGTTCTTATTGCTTGCTTTTTGGTGGTAAAGAAGTGGAAGAAACCTAAAAGCTCCACCCAAATCTTGGTCCACCCACCGCCACTGTTAACACTTCCACATATTGGTGACCCTGTCTGTCCATCTGATCCTCAGAAAACCTGGATCCTCTTTATGCAAGTCTGTGATGCGTTCCATGTCTCACATCCATACAACAGGACCGACTTCACATTTGAATTGAAAATCCTCAGCTTTGTTCGAAGTGAGTCTCTGGTCTTCCAAATCCTATCCAAAGCTGAAGCAGCCTTTTTCCAATGCGGGACTTTATTTCAGCACCTGTTCCTCCCACTCTGTCAATTACGTAAAGTATCTACAGTGGAATCCTGTTATAACGAGAGGGAAGGGACCGGAGCAAGATGTCCGTTATAGCAGGATTCTCGCTATAAGGCAAGGGATCCAGTAATAAATTCAAGGGAAACTGTACAGTAGGACCAAATCTATGATTTTGCGGTTCTGTTTGTTTCCTTTTGATATAGCTCCCCTGATGATGATTTGGTTTCAACATGACCTTTAGGTCTTACTTGATCAAAAATCGAATCAGGTTTCTTTCTCTAGCGCTAGATCTAGCGATGTTGACTGACAGCTCGGCGTTGGCCATCAGAAAGAAGGTGTGGTGCATTCCATCAGCTTGCGCACGTCACTCATTCGCTCCACCCATCACATTGCTGTGACCTCTCCATCCCCGAATCGGAGAGGTGAGAGTGAGAGGCATAGTAGGCCTTGATAATCTAAACTAGACTTACACTGGCCTATCACGCGATGCGTTTTGCTTGTCTGCGCATGCCACACCCTCCCTACTCAGTCGCTCCGGCCTTCAATGTTGACACACATTGGCTCTCCCATTCTTTGTTTCGCTAGATCACCAACAAGTTTCTCAACTGGCGAGGTTTTTTAATTATGTATAAATAAATGGCCTTTTTGCACTGTGCACAGCAGCAGCAATATTCCGCAATAACCGACTCGCATTTTGTCTGATTGCGCTATAGCAGTATTTTATTTACAAAGGTAAAGAAGACAAAAAAACGGGGTTTTAGAATAGTGTCTTTATAATAACAGACTTCTCGTTTTTTCCGGACTCGTTATAAGTGGACTCCACTGTACCACTTTTAAAAAGGTGGACCATTTTCCAGTCACTAATCAAACATTGAGTTGCCTCCTCCTCTCCCTTAGAGAAATTATTAATCATGATTTATTATAATTTATATGTTGTAATGGAAAAGGAAAAGCTAATCTAGATCTAGATTCATTCTTTAAAATAGATCTCACACAATTAAAATTATTGAGATTTTCAGTCATGACTTTGATCTAGAATCTATATATATATAGATCTATCTATATATGATAATATAATGTGTGTGTATGTGTTTGCACGTCTGTATACGACAGAGAGAGAGAGAGAGAGAGAGAGACAGAGACAGACAGACAGAGACAGAAAGACAGACAGACAGTCTTCAACATTCTGTCCGACACAAGAAAGAACGTGATGTGTGAAGGCGTTACTGGCAGCTTCCATACTTCTCAAGTCTTATCTCCAACACCCTTATCA